CGAACTCGACATCAAGTCTGGGTCGAACTATTTCGTTTAGAGCTATGTGTGATGTGTTGTGTGATTGGTCAGAAGTTTGTGGGGCGTATTTGACACTTGGACAGCAATGTTGATATTTCTTGTGAGGAACGTTTATCAGACACGATGAGGAATTAAGTACATTTGTATGACTCTTCACAAAATAAGTACAAAGTCTGTCAAATGGCTAACACTTCCTGGGTGGGAATCACAACGCCGTTAGAAAAAGTGCAGCGATGCAGCCAGAGCCCTGGTGGGTAGGTGTGTGATGTGTACTGAAGCAGGAAGCTGTTCTGGGCCTTGTGTGAAAGATGTGCTAATATGTCAACTAGGGATGGACAATAGATTATTAACAATACATATCGCAATAAACAATTAATCAAGTTTAACAGAAAATGTGTCTGATTGAATATTCAATAATTTCACTGTCAGGAAAGAAAAGACTTTATACCCTCAATGCGTCAGCTAGCCAGCTAAGCTAGGTGGGTGGCATCAACTAACTCACTCACTCTTTGGTTACCTAGCAACAACCTGAGTAACTTGATCAACAGCAGCAGCTTAAGGTTTCGCCACCATACTTCATAACTGCTTAAAAATAAAATAAAAAAACAGTAGCTTGGAGTGAAAACTGAATACAACAGGAAACGTCACGTCACCAGTTTGTCAGTATTCCAGACATGTAAATCCAAAAGCAAATCAATAATTATCGATACCGACTGATATGAAAGGTTTATATCATGATACGTTTTTTTAGCCATGTTTGGCTTCGGATGAAGAATGGGAGAGATTTTAGTTTGAATCTCTAAAATGACAAGTTGAAAGTAAGACTCACCTCAGTATCTGCTGCGTGGCGTTCTGCTGGTTCTGCATCTGTCTTTGCTGTAAAACAGATTTTTTATTTTTTTTTAATGAAAGGTAATTGTTTTTAAACAGTTTGAAACAAAATTGACATTTACCTGCACAATGAGATCGGATCGTTTTCTTTATCCTCCATATTGAGAAAGCCATCACAGCACTCAATATGACGGTGACTGTCAGAGCTCCGCTCAGAAAATGTACAACAAGTTCAGGGGAGATTAGCTCATCTGTAGAAAGAACCGATAAAGGCATTAAACATTTAGAGAAAAGCCTTTTGTAGAGCTTCCCTAGTTTCATGTATAGGTGAAGTGCTAAAAGAAATTAAGTCATAGGAAGCACACAGTCTGTTAAAGGATTCTGGAAAAGGAAACCACTTTTTGAGGAATGTCAGCTGCAACAGAAAACCGACTCTTAAGATCCAGAACCAAACATGGAGAAGCAGCATTCAACTTCTATGCTCCACAAATCTGGAGCAAACTTCCAGAAAACTGCACAGCTGCCAAAACACTGAGTTCATTTAGATCTGGATAAAACACACATCAGGGGATGTTTTTGAATGGCAGTGACATGAACATCGAGCAACATATTTGATCTGTATTGGTGATTTTGATAATGGCATTTGACAAAATGTAATGTTTATTGCTTGTTTCATAATTGGTGACTTTATGAGGTGAAGCATGTTGAGCTGCCTTGATGCTGAAATGTGCTGTCCAAGTAAACTTGACTTAAGGCTCATGTAAGGCTGCAGTAATTAAGAAACAATATAACAATCCTAAGCATAAGAATAAATCAGAACATTTTCCTCTGTTATTAAATTGTCAGTTAATTTTTTCAGCAGATGTTGAAATACAGCACACCTTCTACTTATGGAGGTGATGTAACTTCAGTTGTTTTGTTATTCAATGACAATTTTATTATTAGCAGTTCAGTTTTCCATTCATCCAGAAGGGTAGTTGTTAGAAAACACAAAGGGAAACCATTTTTCCCTTTGCATTTTTCCCATTTTTAACTAACTTTTACCTGCTGACTCCATGTTTTCTCCATCTTCAAACAGTAAAGATCCACACGAGGCAACGGCGCAGCTGGCAACCCCGTCATTGGACACATCGAGGTTCATCAGTGGCACAACGTAGTCACAGGATTGTGTTGCTGTCGTCATTGTCTTACTGCATCCACCATTTCTGCCTCCAGGAGTGTAAATGATTCCCGCTTGAGATTCTTTTGCCTCTTTGAACCAGTAAAAACTGTTCTCTCCATCACAGCTTCCAGTGTCTACCGAACAGGTCAGAGTCACAGGCCCTTCTGGCTGATGGACCAAAGTGTGAATGTTTGAACCAGGACCTTCTACGTTGACTGTAGCTCCATCTCCGAACTCGAATTTGTTTGAGTCGATAGCGACGCAGAAGTAAGTTGCTGAGTCTGAAGGTTGCAAATCAGAGATTCGAAGGTGATTTTTACCGCTTCCCGCTTCTAGTTCAAAGCGAGGATTGTCCTTGAACTCATTGTGAAATCTGCCTTGATTTTCCAATCTATAATGACTGGAAAACATGTTCAGTTTCTGTCCCACGGTTTGTTTAAACCAGTAAATCATCACCGCATTTTTTGGATCATAGAAACATGGAAGAGTAACATTGCTGCCCACGTCTGTTGAATTAAAAGTCCGCTCCTGACGTAATAATGTGTTCTGACCTGAAGAAAGAGAAACATATTTCAATTACCTTGTTCATTCTCTGGAAAATGTAGATTATTTTAAATATTTAAGTGTTTCTTTGCGAAAATTGTTTATGAAAACTCACCTGAACTCCCCAAAAAGAGAAAAGTCAGACACCAGGCGATGACTGGGGCCGTCATTGTGTCCACAGTGCTGCACTGAACAAAATGAATCTCACTATGAACTCTGCTGATCACAGAGAGCAGGACTCTGATTGGCTGAAGAAAGCAACACCTAAGACATCTAATGCTCCTCGGCTGATTTCTGCTCCTTCGTCATAACGATTAACTTTCTCCTACCACTTGTTCAGGAAAATCAGTTTTCTTCCATTTGCACCACTTATAGTGACTGATTATTCATAAAAGCATTCCTGTCTCATTCCAAGTACTCAAGTATAAAACATCTGACTATCCAGTAAAATTTTAACTATGAAAATACACTGGGTGATCTGAAAATATTTTTATTTTCTTAAAAAGTTGAGAATCACTTGCGTGTTTGTGGAATATCCTCCTAACTATAGGACCGATAGACGGTCAGTGGATGACCGTCCATCGGTCATCCACTGACCGATAGACGAAGAGGACGATGTTTGGATATAATCTGCTTGATTGTCTTATGAATAATCTGCCATTTTTATCAAATAAATTTTTACTAAGGAAGAATTGTATTTCTCCTACTGCAGTGGACTACAACTGTTTCAGTGATACAGTTTAATGGAAAACCATTATTGTGATGTGCATTAAAACAGAATTCTGCCATATTTCATCGCTTTGGCTTAGAGTTATATTCAACGTCACACTAACCCCAATATATGTAAACATTTTAAAGATAATATTTAAATTTTCATGACCAAAAATGGTTTTACACTTAAAAATTGCCCTTCATGTGAAGCATCTTGGGCGTCACTCACTTGGTGTAGCTGCAGTGCATGAATTTCAAACTGAAGAAAAAAGAAAAATACCACTGCAAACTTCCTGGCTGAGTGTTGAGGGTCTTTGACACAGTGGCTTTTAACCACATGAAATATGAAAAAAAAAAAAAAAGATCGCAGAGTTTTTGATGTGCAGTCAACAGACGTAAAGGAAGCGGCAGAACGACAGACCAAAGACCTCTACAATCTTATTTAACAGTATTGATGGAAGCTTTATAGTATGTTAAGCATAATCAAAAGCACACATAAAGTCTGTTGTTTGAGTGGCAAACATTATGCATGTAAATACGCATCAAAAAATCTTTTACTAATTCAGGTAACTTTACCATTTTGTCCACACAAAATGAGAATCGAACTGAACTGGGAAATGGCTGGACTAGAAATCACTGGAATGTTTAGGAACGTCATATATGATATATGTGTGAGGCTAAATGTTTTTAGACCTCAGAGCTGCTTCTAACATGGTTGACAAAAAGCATTTAGAGCAAATCCTTAGGATTAAGTAATTAAGTGAGGTGTTATGTCCAAAATGTCCTCATGTCCTGTGGCGTCCCACATGGATCCATTCTTAAATCTGTTATTTCTCTTCAAATGGTTTTAAGTTAAAGTTTTGATTGCGTTTTTGAAAGCATAGCATCTAATTTCAATACTATACAGATAACACAAATGTACCCACCCCTGAAATGTGATGACAGGTCTCCTTTGTCTATTTTGAGTTTTTTGATGATCTTGAGGCCATAAATCTGAATACAAGGCTTAAATTTCAAAACCTTCACTACTTTGTCTCTTGCTTTTAGCAACCTTGAAAAAGTAATCTGTGCCTTTATTTCATCCCACTTGGACTATTGTGTGTTATGTGTAGCATAACTTGGTCTGTAGTTCGAGATTTAAACTAAAACAAGCAAGCTAAATAATGTTTGTCCCATGTTGGCTTCCTTACACCCCACTGATCTGTCAGCTCTGTACAACTCTTTTTAAATCAGCAGACTGCTGAGCCAATACTCCTCACAAACCCCTGGATCTTCTTCTTTTTTTTTTATACCTTTTCCTGTTTGCTAAGTGACTATTAAACTGCCTCTGTAAAGTTTGGTATTTTATAGTCTTGTGATATTTCTTGTGTCACAAGATATTTCATTTCTCTGGCAGCATCACTAAGTTGGTTCAGGTACATCTCACTGTGGCTCAGCCTTCCTGTGTGTGTTACAGGTCTGAGTGAGCTTTTGTTTCCACCAGTGGAAACTTCTGCTGTGCAACACACACCACCGTCACCACAGAAGTGGAGGCTAAGCAGTGACACCATTACAAATGGAGCTTCACGGCTTGTACTGTGAAAGATATTAATAGACTGGGGGATTTTTTTATGAGTTTATTGTATATATTTAATTTCCTTTATTTAAACCAGGTATTAGCATATGAGCTCAGTAGCCATGGGGCATTTTGCAGAACTCGAATGACACACAAAAGTGACAAAAAAAAGTACTTTGTTTTATTCAAATATTTTGATAGGTTCTAATTTCCTTCATGCAGACGGCTGTGCTTTATTCTTTTCTGCTCCGTACTCTGGAGTACACACAGGCACTCTCGACGTTGTCCTCTTGCTGCTGCCTTTCAACGCTTCTCTTCAGATTCAGAGCCGCATAATGGAGGCTTTCTGTCTGATTCTCCTGCTTTTGACAGAAAAAAATTGTGTTCAAGTAAAGGTAGATGAAGTTAAGTGAAAAAAGGGAACAAGAACATTTGTGTTGACTTACAGTGGCATCTCGGGCCTCGGAACACATCCGGTGTTTACCCGTCCCTATAAACCACGGCATGCAAATGAGCACCTCGGATGAAGGTTTAAAGCTGAATTATGTTGAGTTACTATAGAAACCTTACCTTTGCAGGAAGAGCATAGCTTTGATTTCAGTTTGTACCTCCAGAAACTCAAAACAAGGAGCCCGATGGTGGAAAGTGCCAGAGCAACGCTTAGGGAACCCACAACGACTGAAGGCACTGTGGTGGAGGTCAACATGCAGAAATAAAAAAAAAGAAACTGAGATATTACACCAGTCTTTGATAGGCCAGAATTAATGTGATTAATTTGGATTGTCTAAATAGTTGGGCACATGCAGTGACAACATACCTGCAACTTCTACTTTTGTTCCCCCTCCAAAAACAACCGACCCACAGGAGGCCAGAGCGCAGTGGTAGGTCCCTGCATCCGAGGACCTCACAGGATCCAACTCGAGGGTCGAAGTGCAGTTTATACCGTAGAGGGTTTCATTATAAAGGCTTGTACAATGCCCTTCACTGGGATACATGAGTGGCGGCTGAGCGGCGGTACGTCTGAACCAGTAGAGGTTCCGTTCCCCTTCGCAGGGCTCAGCAGACACGCTACAGCTCAGATTCACAGAGCCCCCGAGTCGTAGAAGCTTCTTCAGCGTTGGCTGTTGTTTGGACGGTTGAGCGTTCGATGAAGATGTCTTCACATGGAGGAAAACTCCTCGTCCAAATTCAATGGCGTTGAACTCCAACATCACGCAGTAATACGTTCCTGAATCCAAAGGCTGAAGATCTGTGATGATCAGGTCATTGACGCCAGCTTCGGACCTCACAAGAACTCGAAATCTTTCTTTATATGCAGGGGAAATTTCGGCTTCCGTGTCATGCTTCATCTGTTTTGATATGATACGGGGTTTTTCTCCCTGGATTTGGCAGTACCAGTAAAAATAAGTTATGGCGTTATGCTGACAGGAGCAGGGTAAAGTCACTGTCCCACCAACTTTAGCAGTCCTAACTCCAGAATCCTGAATAATATCTAAGGTGTTCAAAACATTAAGCACTTCGCCTGTAAAAGAAATGAAGGTTTAATTTACTCCTGTAAAAATCTTTTTTTTTCCCTTCAGAATACCAATACCCAAAGAAAGACAACTAAATATCTAGTCAATACTCACAGAGAAGCAGGAGAAGAATGTAAAGTGGCTCCATCACTGCAGTTAAGCAGACTGTATTCTGAGTTCACAGATGGCCCCCGAGCTCTTAGAAGAAGACTAAGGCTGCCTGTGATTGGCTTAGACGAGTGGCTACGTTTCAAACCAGGCTTACAATTCGTTCAGGTTTAGAAGATCTGTCACATCAGGCGACTGGAGGTGGAATCGGATCAGTTCAGTTCTGCCCATTCTGTGACTGGAGGACAGAAAGTCTGACGTGGAGCTTTTTCTGTTTTGTCAGTACAAGTCAGCGCTTTGCTCGTTTCCATCCAGGCTGTTACATGTTCTTCTGTAAATATCATTTCACTTTATTTTTTGTATGGGTGTATGAAGGTGAGTGTTTGTCTTTATTTCATAAAGGCAGTGAGTAAAACATTCTATATATGTTATTCTGCAACTGCTGCTATTCTAACTTCCTGTTGGGCGTAGCTGTGCTGCAGTGCTAACAATAGT